GATTGTCTTTCAAAGCATCTTAATAAGCGTTCAAGTTACCGTGTGTGAAGAATCCTCTGACACTGAAATTGAATTACGGCTATTGCTGTCATCACGTTCAAAGATGAATGATCGAACTAAGCTTGAACTTTGCTTATGGGACACTGGAAGGTGATGCTTTGATGCTCGACCAAGAAAAGATGACTGTAATGTCGAAATGGAAAAATCAAAGGTTGGTACATTCTTAGGACAACAATGTGTAATAAAAAAGATGTCAATTAAAGAAGTGGCTTTACCTTCAAAGAGCTATTGTCTTTTGCGCCTCCTACCATATTGTCAAAGAAAGCTGTGCAAAAGGACATGAAATATGAGGAAGTATAAAATTTTAAATCCATAACATAGATGAATGAAGTACTGAATTCCAAGCCTTACACAATGGTTTTGCTTTCTTCTTTTGGTCTGGAACTACATTAAGCTTTTTTATAAGGCCAAAGACTTGTCTGGAACTCTCATCTTCAATTGGAGGCACTAGTGTTGTCCGCTCTTCCTGTTTTTCAAAGGCCAGTCATCATTCAATTATGCAATGCATAAGAAATTTGTTGAGCATGAAGCTTTGAAATGCAATCCAATCTAAAGGACCACAAACTTTTCCGAGAATATAAAAACAGTGTACTATAAGCGAACCTAACAGAATTGGACTTACAGCTCTAACAAGGACATGCCGTTTAACAAGCCTCTTCCCTGTTTCCTCTTCATCATCTGATAAGAAAACATCATCTTTATCCATAAACATCTGAGTTATTATTTGCTTTGCTTTTCTCTTATTTACTTGCACAGGATTCTTTGGCCGTGCTCCCTCTTCTGCATCATCATTAAACTCCTCACACTCACTATCCACTTGTTCATCATCAAGCAATGTTGTCTCTCTATGCTTTGAATTAAATTTCAATTTTTTGAGCAGATTTTCAGTTCCATCTGCATCCTGCTGCTCAAGCCACTTCCTATGAAGTTCATTGCGCCTTTCGTTATCCATGGGTCTTTCTTCATAATTAGTTGCAATAATATCTTTGAGTTCTTCAGAATCTTCAATATCTTCATCTTCATTTTCACTGAAGCGGTGTAGGTCGTTGTCACTGTCATCTTCTTCCTCAGCTTCTTCATCAACAAATGCCTTAACTGGGTCACCTTTTGGAGGACACTCTTCTTGAGCACTCTGTAGATAAGGATCTATATTCTCCTTGTGATTGTCCTCTTCATCTGAAGAACTACAAATGGAAAAATTCTCCAATTTTATTTGATTCATAATTAATAACAGTAAGTGGTACCAAGCATCTAAAGGAATTTCCAAAGCATCGACTTGAAATGGAATTGAAATAATTAAGACAAGAAAAACACTTTTTGCATGCAAACAGTTAATAAAAACTCACCATTCATCTGGAGGTACAGAATCAAACTTCAAGTTCATAGCAAGGACAGAAGGTGCCATTACTTCTTCCAAAGGACTACTAGCATTGCATTTGGGTATCTCATTTGTCCCATCACTTGCTTGAGAATCACCAAAAAGATCCTGATTTATAAAATAAAATAAAAAATTATCATTATTATAAGGTCCATCATTCAAACATTTGTAGAGAGTTATAGTAACATGTTAAACTCCAACAAAGCACAGTTAAGGAACCTGAGTATCAACTGGAGCTCGAAACGTAGGCTCAGCAACTTCATCCAAAACCTGAATAGACATGATAATGATTAGTATAATCAAAGGATCCTGTCAAGAAGAATTACAATTACACCAATGCACCATTTATTCTGTTTTAAAAGAATTGGGGAAAGGGAAAATGGCTTACAAGGAAAAGCTTTTACAGTATTTAGTAAGTATTGTTGGAAAATAGTCAAAATACTTTAAACTTGTTGGTTAGAGATTTGTTTAGGATAATAACAACATAAAGACTGTTAAGTGTCTCTTGATCCATAAAAAAAATTATGGCCCTGTTTGGTAAAAAATTGGCCTATAGGCTAATTTTGATTTATTTGACTACTATTAATTGTATGATTTAGTTAAAATATCAATATAAATGTTTGGTTAATTAGCTTTTTGCAACTCCAAAAGGCTAAAATTTAAAATGCTACTCCAAGCAACTTTTTTCAATTAGCTTTTTGAGAAAAGAAATTATACCAAACAACTATTAGCTAACAAATAATTTACCAAACACTTTTCTACAATCAGCTAATGTTATCAACTATTTATACCCTCAAAGTAACACAATCAGCTAACAACTAACAGCCATTTTACCAAACAGGGCCTATACTTACCAGCATAAAAGTGAACATTTCAGGAAAACTTTTAACTCGTTTTTGGTCAAATAAGCATCATAAATTGTAAACATTCTAAGTGAATGAGACATTAAAGTTCTAAATGTAAACTGTCAAAGTTTTTTACTAGGCCTAGTAATAAATATAATCCATAGAATTGAGGGTTTGTAGCATTTTAAGTTTAAAACTAACAAATTCTTATCCTATAGCAGCCTATTAAATTTAAAAAAAAAAAAATTATAAAAAAATCAACACAATCAACCAAAGGCATTCCTTTGACAGTATCAAAGTTGATGCTATATCCCTCACCATTTGACTTGGGACATTTTCAGGTTTTGCATCATCAACTCCAGAAACTGAAGGCCCATCCACACCACTTTTTAAATCCTCATGTGCAACTGCCTTCAATTCTGATTTTTCTACTATGATATCTTCCACAAACTCATTGTCAAAGTCCTCGTCCACCATAAGTTCACTCAGCACATTATTTCTAGGAACAGTGCTGCTGTTCTTTAATGTCATACACCTATATCCAAAACATAAAAGCATAATCTTAAGATACAAATACTTCAGTAATAATGACTGCATGTTATCTAAGATTCATAACAACTCACTTTTTTGAAACCTCAAGCTTCCTCTGCCTGATCTTTTGCAGTACTGATGATATGGGTTTATGCACAACTGGTATGGGCTTAAATGTGGCATCTCTTGTTTCTATTCACAGGAGAAAAATAAAATATAAACATATGTAAAGAATGCCAAAATCAACACAACCTGTTCACAAGTGAGATGGCACAGTTATTTATCAAAAGTAACACGTTAAAAGGTGTGTAATATAAGGTACATTTTTAATATACTAAAAGTCAATTATTTGTGTACTGATTGATCATTATTCAATACTACTAAGTATTGAATCTTTAGTACACAAATAATGAACATTCAACATATTCATGGTCACACAGTATAATTTTGACGGGTGGAAGCATAGCTAAAACCACAGGAAGGACAAACCTCTTAATAGCCTCTGGGTTTCAACATGAAGCTCCTTTAGATGTTGTTTCCTTTCCTGCAGAAATTCATAACAAATCAGCAAAGCCAAATTCAGATATACTGATCTACATACATTGGATGACTGATGAGGAAGCATATAGAAGCACAGAAGTGTACCCTTTGTTCTCTTCTTTTATTCAGAGCTGGTTCTTTGGGCATCAAATCATCAGCATTATCCGCCTTATTCTTTATCTTCTTGCTCTTACTTTTATGGCTTTCATTCAAATCCAGATCTCCACTATTGTTCCTTTTTTGTCCTGATTTCTCGACCTTCAGAACCTCAATCCCTTCGCCTATTCCCTCACTCTCCTCGCCCTTTTTATCCAAAATTTCATCATCCCGGGATTCCGACTCCAAATCTCCCTCAATCTCTTCATTTTCACCGTCAGATCTCGGAGCTTCAGAATTAAAATCCAACCCATTCTCCTCCTCATCGAAGTTCAACGCTCTCCGGCTCTCATTCGGCTTTTCCTCAAACCCGGACTCCAGTTCAGACTCATCGTCAAAGCCTTGAGACGACGACAGAGGTCCCTCCGAATCATCGGAATCTTCTAAGGTCTTGGAAGCTTCCAAAGCCTCCAATTTGGCAAAATCGACTTTGGGCAACGAGATAAGACCGTCAATTGAACTCACCGGAGGATTTTCCGGAGCTCTCCCTGGTTTCTTCAAGCGCTTGAAACCTCGATTTTGGACCACCGGCGATGGCTCTTCTGGTGGTGAAAATGACTCGTAGTCGTCGTCGCTTTCCATCGGATATCCTTGAGCGATGGAGATTAGAGCCTAACAGTACAAAGAATGGATCTGATTTGTGACTTGTGAAGCAAATGTGGCGTAGAGAGTAGAGAGACTTGGTAAAGCGTGAAGAATGAAAGCTTTTAGGCGCCAAATGTTTCGAAATTTTGGGGAAATAGGCGCGGTGGCGTAACTTTAACCGCCATAATATGGCGGGGTTCTATGGTCTCGTGGCTTTTTTTTCTTCTTCTTTTTCTTTAAGGAATACTCCGTATTATAAAAGAACAGATATATGAATTTAATAAGCTTAAATACAATTATGGCATTATAACTTATGGTATCATAATTTTTTAAAACAAACCTTTAACATATTTACTATAATACTTATTGCTTTTTAATTTTAAAATTAATGCTTATCAAATTAATTATAAAATTAATTCCACTACTATATGTTTCAAATTGGATTTGATTACTAGTAAATCAAGTTCAAATAACAAATTGAGTCAAATTCACAAATTTTAATACTCTTCTTAAGCAATTCGCAACCCTAGTATATGTTGTGTGTGAAAATAACTATAATTGAAATGTAATATTGAAATTTATTATAACATTTGTTGTAAAGAACTTAATATCAGTTGAGTTTAAAAAAATTAGAGTTCATAACTTGAAAAGAATTTATTTTTTATTAAAGAGAGAGAGAGAGAGAGAATTTAAGCATTGAAACGAGAATATAATACATCAATAATCATGAATAAAAGTAAGAGGGCTAGAAAGCCACACTCGCCAGGACCTGTCATAAAAAAAGTCTTTCGCAAGAACGTGAGCCACACCATACGGAAACCTTCTAACAAAAGAGAAGTTCATATCAGTAAAATCATTCTAATAAAAGTAAGAATGTGCAGGTTTCAAGTTTTAACTATGAGGCGTATGAAGAATAATAAATTTCACTCGACAAAGGAATAAAGCGTGCATCAAAGTGAAGTGGCAATAAATCACTAAAGTTTAAGCCTATTGCAATAACCACAGCATTGTATTCTCTCAAGTACAATCACAGTAATCTTCCATATAGTGAAACCCGATCACCCATAGTCTTCACCTTTGAATGGTCACGGGCCTCACGGCAGAAAAATGATAGCCAGGAATGAGGAATCACAGTTCAAAGTCCCAGGTACTCTCGGCGCTCAACTTTGGCATTTTAACATCATCGGCCAAATTAAGAGATGCAGAAACCTGATGGCAGACAGATAACTCAAGTCAGACTAGTATTTTATATAGAATGGCAATTAAGAAGTCAATAGCCAGCACCCAGACTCAACTACTCAAGGATTGTATAAGCAAAAGGCACTGCTTAGTCTATGGTTTGCATGCATTCAAAACCTTTATGTTTGACATTATTGACCATATAGTAAAGGATGACTTGTAATTTTGATAAAAGTGTAGGCAGTCTAAGCTTGAAAGCATGAAACAAGATGGAAGTTCTAATGGTTGAAGGATGTGTTTCGTCTCAACTAAAAGTCTAAGCTAATAGTTGGACTACACATTTATATTTTTTATATATATTATCCTCAAAACACTAGTACACTACTATTAACCCAGCCTAACAGTAAGCCAACAATTGATGTATAAATAAGTCTCACTTCTCACTATTCAAGTAACAGTTGACATTACTCATTAGGATGCCTAACAACACAGTTCCCTACAGATACCATACTGAATATGGGGTAATTCCAGAAATGGAACAAAGTGATAACTCCATTGTTCGTACCAAACTAAGGGGCATGATTTTCTTCAGAATAACACAGCTCTCAAGGTCATTCCAGGAGAGAAATAGTCAAAAAGAATACATGAATCAGCTTATCTGGCTACGACTACTTTTTATTTCCTTGCTATTTCCCAAACTTAGTGTTCCATCGGTTTACATAAGATGCAACAGAACAGCAAATGCTTGCACAAATCTGAACTTAACATAAACTTGAGCATTCATGCAGTTTTTTTTTTTTTTAATTATTAATGTAGCATTCAGACAGTTTAATGAGCTATGTCCAAAGCTATCCCTTTTGGTTTCAGATTTTCAGTTTTTAGTAGCATATCTATCTTGAGACCAAGCCAGAATGACTAGCTTTTCTTTTAGCATTAATAAAGATCGAAATTTTTGAATTGTTACTTGTGCAACAAAGGGACCTAGAATATTGTAATCATCTTCAGAAAACAGATATAAAAGCTCAGACAGTTACTCCATGCGTGCACAGAAATGGCCTATTAATGGCCACCACACGTTTATACAGAACTATTTTTGTTACCAAGTAACAGGTTTCCAAAAAGTATAATTTGTAAGAAAGGTAACCTACAAACTTATGTCTACATTTCCCACTCTGATTAATCGGAATATATTATTTCATTGAGTCCCAATATACAACACAGAGATGAAACTACAACCAAAGGGTAGCTTGTAGTCTCTTAGCTTTAGTAGATTCACTAGATTGTAGGGGAAAAAGACTGAAATGTGAAGATAGAGGTATGTATTTCCCAAAATGTGAATGTCCATTTTTGTGGACAAAAATATGAAAAACGAGTTTGGGACTTGCGTTTGATGTCAGAAGTGGTCAAATCAAAAACGCAAGTCCCACTAAAACTAGAAAAGGCTAATCCTGTACAAATGTTGCACCAACCAATCCTCGGTCCCATAAAACTAGAAAAGGCTAATCCGACTAATAGTGCTTACTGCCTAGTGAAGAAAATCAAGTACAGCATAATCTAAACAGTTAAACGTCCCAATCCCAACAGCAAGTTAAGCATACTATAAAAGGTTAACCTCAATGGATACTCATTTCTGAACTTGAATGATTTGTCCAAATCAATGTAATTAATCAACCAGATTGAATATGCAGCTTGGAGACAACTAAAAAGAGGAATGATTATACAATTATACCTTAAAACTTCCATTCAATTTTGAATTCCTCGACCATTCAAGGGACAAGTTCTTGCTCGAGGTTTGGTAGAGAGCCTTAAACACATCATCACCATATACTCTCTGCGAAATTGCGAAGTCCCACGTATCCTTTGCGAAATCGTAGATTGGCTCGTAGGTGGTGAGTCCTTCATGCACATAAGTATATTTCAGCTTGCAGTTTCCGGAGCCGAGCACGTGATTAGCTGAAACCTTGTTAGAAGGATCGAAGACAAAAGTCCCGTCCAATATTGTCCGGTTATCGCCATTAAAGTGAATGTAATTCAAGTTCAGTGGCTTATCCCTAACCGTCACTGTTCTCATAAATTGAAACCTGAAATCCTGAAAAAAATCGGAAAAGCTCGTATTTACGAAGTACTTAGATGATTGGTGGTGCAAATTGGGATAATATGGTGTGTGTCTGTACCTTTTTGGGGACATTGTAGTCGATGATGAAGAAGCCGGGCTTTTCGACGGCTAGAGCTATGCCGTTTAAGCTGGGGCCGTTGACCAGAGTAGCGTCTGTCATGGAGGCTCGGAGCCTGACGTCGCCGGCGTTGACGGCGACGGTGGCCACAGCCTCCATTTTGTCGGAATCATGCCGGGTTTTCAGTGATCCCTTCATTTTCGATGAGCGAAATTTGGGTTTATTTTTTATTGCCAGCGAGCGGGATAAGAAACAAGCGTTTCAGCGGTTACAATTGTTTTCAAGGTCGCGACCCCGCCAATCCACTACCAACCTCGCTGTCCCGTACAATTTTTACCTTGATTTGTTTCATCTGACCTTACTGAAGTTTATTACTCCGTATTAGATGAAATTTCAATTTTAATCATATGACTATAGGAGTCTTGTTAATTTTTAATCCTGTGATTTTTAAAAGTGTTAATTTAATACTTTTAACTATGTAATTTTTTTCAATTTTTGTCACTCTGGCTAAATTGCTGACCAAATTTCGCCGAAAAATTTTAATTGTTAAAATAATGAGAGTATTTTGATCATTTCACATCTCTTTTCTTTTTCTCAGGCGAGTCCATCTCTTCCTCTCCCGTTTCCGGTGAATGCAATGAACTAAGATGATGGGGAAAGGAGGCTTGATGATATTAAATATAGGGTTTAGAGGGAGAAAGAATACCGGAAACAGAGAGAGAAATAGGTGGACTTGCCGGAGAAGAAGAAAAGAAACGTGAAACGACCAAAATATCCTCATTATTTTAACTATTAAAATTTTCCGACGAAATTTGGCCGTAGTGACAAAAATTGACAAAAAATTGCATAGTTAAGTTACTAAATTGACACTTTTGAAAGTCAGAGACTAAAACAAACAAGACCCCTATAGTCATATGACCAAAATTAAAATTTCCCCTCCGTATTATTAAATTCTCCCAAAAGTTGAATTCTCAACTCCAACAACTCCCACACTCCTGTCCCAGAACATTTAAAATAATATAAATTAATGGTGACTCTAACTTAGCAGACAATATATCAGTGTACACAAGATATCTGTCCACTTTAGACGTAATCTCCACACTCCGTATTATTTTAAAATTGACTTTGCTACACTCTTGACTCTCCAACATTTACTTCTCAATTTTCTCACAAACTCACTTCCTATGTTGCATTTTGTAGTTAGTTGAAATATAAGAAACAAAAAGTTAATCATACAAAAATAACTATATCAATGATTGACAAATTTTACACTCAAACACCTGAAAAAGAGAATAATAGTTTTTATTTATAATTTGTAAATGTTATGAAATAATGTTTATCATAACATTTGTGATATTATTGATGGGATTTGGGATTTGTAACACTTTTTATGCGAAATAATATTTGAAAATCAATAAGTCTATCCACCAAATTGAGACAACATTTGTGTGTTGAAAATTTAGTATTTGAAAGTAATATTTGTATTATTCGGTAGTTTGACACTATCCGCCACGTCTTCTATTAAGACCATCATAATTATCATAATTATCATAATTATTACTCCGTAATTAATTCTTTCTTGCACTTTACCCACTTGATCACCTATTAGTAAGGATTTGTTAGTTATTTTAACAAAATATAAATATTGGTCATATGTTTTTTACATCTAAAAAGGACTAGTATTATTTATAAATTCCATTGATTTATAAAAGTAAGAATTAATGTATTAGTTTTTATATGTGTTTCAATTATATTTGAGAAATAATGATTTCATATTTGTGTTAGATCATTGCATGAATTCTTATATGTGAAACGGATCAATCAATATGGGAATGTAAAAATATTATAGCTTAAATAATTATACGAAAATATTATTTATGGACAAATACAAACACAATCAACTAAAGGCCTAGGGTTAGTACAAGTCGAGCGAAAAAATATTTCCTTACAACATTATTTGCTACCTCTTCAATGTGTTAGGACCAATGTAGTCTAGGACTTTCATGATAAAACGTAATACAACTTAATGTTTAAACACTAAAACAGGTGAACCCGACGAACTATAACACGTGATGAACATAGAAAGAAAGGGAGAAAGATGGGCATAGCTTTGTATGAGCAAAATCGTAGGCAACAGATTGTATATCGAAATCTGCTGCTCAACCAAATGTTATATACGATAGATTGAATTCAATAGCATTAAACTGACATTTATATTTATATTTAAATCCATTAGTGTACCATTCATAACATACAACTATTACTATATAAAGTAATTATAAAATTTAAAATTTCAATTAATTATGTAACCTCAAAATTAAGACCCATAACGGAAATCATTCGATGAAGCATTTTTCATGTTCACTATGAGATTTGATTTGCACTCCTTGGTGAGATAGATCTGTTATATAATTCAACATTCATTTAAAAGGTTCGTGTATATATAGTGGTGTAAATCATCTTATTGTTTCCAATGTGGGGCAAGTGTTTGTTACAAGCCCTTCCCCTCGATTTTCAATCATCACAAATAGGTTTGAGAATTAATTTATCATTCACCAATTATCAATTTTTAGTGTACAATATATTCGTCACACTACGAATAACCCGAATCTTCTTGGACCCGACATAAATCGAAAGTGTACCACAAAACAGTAATTTCAATGCCATTTTATGTTATTTTTTCAACAAATATTACTCAAAAATAAATTTTTTGTTTATTTTGATATAAAAGTATTACTCAGTACATTTTCATAAAAAATATTATATTTTTTCTTATAAGTAATGTTCACAAGTGTTTATTAGTTATAAAAATAATGTAATATTTATGAGGAAAAATATAATATATATTTTTAGTACTATTAACTCTGTTACAATGTAGAAAAAAATATACTAGTTTTAAATGTAAAAGTATATTAAATTTGTATTAAAAAATATTAAACTAATAAACATTTTATTACTGATTAGTATTACATTTTGTAGTATAAGTATTACATTTTTATATTTACCCGATCCACATCAAATACAAGGATCCATGAGACGGTCTCACACAATTTGTGCCGAAATTTTTTCATTAATGTCTATAATTTATTTTTTGATAAGCTCACAATGCGGAGTATCATCTAATTTATACTGTGGATGCGTTATTGGTTCTTTCTATTTCAGTAGATTGAGAAAGTATATGAACAAATACTACATTGTAATAAGCCAGTACAATTAAAAAAAAGTTAATCTAATTTATACTGTAATTAATTAATTTCAAGCACATGTGTGAGAAGAAAGCCCGCGAAAAGTTTTTGGCGCGCTACTTTTTACTGTAACGGACTAATGCTAATTCACACGGAGAGTCGGGAGCAGTATTTTCTGCATAATATTAGACGAAATCCTCAGAAGCTCCAGCCCAGTCGCCGCCACCGCCCGCCCGCCCGCCCGCCCGCTCAAAATCACAACTGCTAGTTTGAGTTCGGAGGGATTAACACGCATCTTCATAGTCGGATCGGTGAATCGGTTTTGTTTCATCAAATCATTTAGGTATTTTTTTAAAAAAATATTTTGACTGTATATGTTTATTCGACAGATTAGGGATTATGGTCATTGCTTTTCGCTTATCTCATGCATAATTATTTCGCTTGAATATTTACTCAGAACTGTATGACTCATTTCAAGAAATATTAGGTGTATATGAATGTGCGATGTGCCGATAATGATTAGCCAGCGGTCGTTGTGCGTGAAATGCCAGCTCATGTTCAAAGAGATCCCTGCTAAACAATGAAACTCGTGAATGACAATTTTATAATTGAAGTAACCAACTCTCAATTGTTTGGCAGTTGTTGCTGATGGTAAAATGTCATTGCCTGGATTATTAATATAAAAAGAAGATAGACACCGTGCAGTTAATCTCTAGTTGAATCCACTGAATCTTCATAAAAGTTGATTAACTATACCATCCTAAAAACATATGTTAATAGTGTGGATCAGTTGGAAAGCTTCAAGATCTTTAGTATTGATAGAAATGGGCAACTGATTAAACTGTTCATTGTTTTTTTCCCAGGAAAAGAAAGAAATTAGTTCATATTGGTATTCAAGGCTTGCTATATTCTGTTATAAATTGCAATTTAACTTTTAAAAAATTTATGTAATTTCAAAAGAGAGTGGTTGAGTACTTGGGTGCACATCTTTAGTGGTAAGTTGAGACATTTATACATGAATCTGAAAATCTTGTAGAGCATACTTTAACTGAAGTTGACTCAATTGTGAAAGAAATTAGATATATTTGTTCTCTTTGTTATAGTTCATGGTGGGCTCTGTTCTCTTTGTCATTCTACTATGTGGAATTTATGTTGCTTGTTCTAGAATTTGGGTTAAATTCAACTGCATTTGAAACAAGTGTGTAGTTTAGACTTTGCTGTGTTTCATGATGGCCTATTGAACCTAAGTTTTCCAGTCTAGTTAAAATCAAACACAGTAATGAAATGCTGGTAGCAGTGGAGGATATAGATGGCAGGAAGTAGGCAATTAGACTTGATTCAAATAACTCCACACTTTGCCTACTTTCTGTTCTTATATATACTTGGCACAAAACAATCCTTTTAGGATTTTCTTTTTATGTTATTTAAAGGATGCATCAGAGGGTATGTGAGTTGGACTCATTGGGTATAGAAGACCTCTCCTTAAACCCCTTGAGCCAAGGTGGTACATTTTCTTCTTGTCAGGTTTTTAGTGTGGTTGACTTTTGACAAATATTGGAATCAATTACAAACAGAAGTCTTGAACTTCTCTTTAATCGTCATATTTAGGCATGATATATGGTATGCAACCCTCAGAAGGCCAGAAGGGTTACACGGTTACACCAACCCCAACCCCTTCTCTACCAAAAGAAAAAAAGAAAAAAGAAAACAGAAAACGAAAGGCAAAAAAGATTGTGTGTTGGATTTGCCATTTGTTTAGTTGTTTGTTATCTAGCCATCCTTCTGTTGATGGTTGCTTCTAATGTGCTGCCTTTTACTTCAATTTTTCAGCACTAGGTGCTGCATATTTGCCCTTTGGTCGGAGTTGAAATAACTTTCAGTACGTGGTTATCATTGCTGCCTCTGATAACTGTTCGTGATAGAGGAGTGAAACACTATTTTTATAAGTTAGACGATGAATTCTTGTTGCCATGTTTATGATGAAGTAGACTCTGATGAAGATGATAAGATGACACTGATACAATTTAAGGACAGACACAAGAAACATGGTGATGATGAAGAAGTTGGAAGTGATGAGGATGATAAGATGCCTTTGACACTACTTAAGGATAGGCGCAAAAAACATGGTAATGATGAAGAAGTTGGAAGTGATGAGGATGATAAGATGCCTTTGACACTACTTAAGGATAGGTGCAAAAAACATGGTGATGATGAAGTTGGCAGTGATGCAGATGATAAGATGACTCTAGGAAAACTCAAGGACACTTGCAAATCCAAGAAAAGGGAACTTACAAGTCATCCAGATACAAGCCGCAAACAGGAAGATGTTAATTTCCAGTCAGATGAAGATGATGATCTCAATGCCCATCTCAGTTTTTCAAAATCAAAACTTACAAAGAGTACAAAAGCTAAAATGAGGTGCATCAAGAGGCATCTTTTTGGCTTTCCTAAAACTGTTATGTCAGTCAAAACTGAACAGGTTCGGGTTTCAGATGTTCCAATCCAATTAAAAGAGGATTCACCTGTATTCTCAAATATCAAAGCTGAGATTCCTGAACCTGAGTTCTTTGGGAGCCAAATCTCAAATTTGTTAGTTGACAGTTCCTCATCAGAAGTCTCTATGTTATTGAAGGAGCATTCATTGCCACTAGTGAAAGTCAAAACGGAGACTTTTGAGTCTGAGTCCTTTGGACAAAAAAGTAGCAAGACTTTTATTGGTCGTTCGCCTGTTTGCTGTCATGAGGGATCAAGTTCTGCTAAAGTTATATCCAGTGAAGTTGCAGAAATTGTTGAAAGGAAGCATAACACATCTATACAGGTAGAAGAACAACAATACTGTATGCTTAATTACATGTCCTATGAACACTTGAAGTATCTTGATCCTGAATCTTCCCCTAAAAGTTGTGGGGATATGCATGCAAATAATCTCAAGAAAAGCTTTGAGACAGAAGTAGACTTGCTGTCACATCCTCATGGAGGCTTTCTGGAAACAATATCACCTGCCAGGGATAAAAATTTAGACGTGCATTCCCATCAGCATGAGTTTGCAGAGCAACGAAACTGTCTTGAATCTCATATTTCTGATACAATTATTGTTAACAAAGATGGTTTCACCAACAACTATGACAGTGATGATATTTGCATATCTGAAGATGAAGTTGATTGTACCAATCTTGGATCTCATGTTTCTGACACAGTACTTGCTAATAAAGTTGGTTGCACCAATCATTCTACTGCTAGCCCTTTTAAGAAATGTATTGCATCTGGGGATTCCCATTCTTGCTCAAACACTAATATTAACTTAGAATCAGTTGAAGGCACAACCACTTATGAGGATCAACTTTCAAATTGTTATTCGGCTGATCCAACAAACGGTTGCTTAGATCCTGGAAATGCTTACACAGGAAAGTTTCCGACTGCATGTAAGGTTAAACGGAAACATACTGAAAGTAAACATCCTGCTGAACACCCACACATGGCCAGTTCTAGTATAGATAAAAAATCGAAACTATCTACTCAGGTTTGTCAGGCAAAAGTTACCATAGACCCTAATGAGACTGCTAAAAGATTGAAAAAAAGAAGAAAAGGTTCTCCACCTGACGGCAATTTAGAGTGTCATAATCTTTCTCAATCTCTACCCAAATTTAGCACAGGCTGCACCTCTGTTCAACATTTTTCTGCAAGTGCAATAGCATTTTCAGAGCGGCAGATGCATGACATTGAGTCACTTGCAGTGAAGCTCATGAAAGAGTTGAATTCCATGAAGGACATAGTAGAAGGACAGTTGCAATTTCAAGCATGTAGTAGTGCTTCACTGAAAAATGAAGTAGATAAGGTATGTTATACTGTCATATTTAATTTGCATAAATGGATTAGTTAACATGTGAAATTTCCATCTTTATCTCTGTTCAGTAAGTTTTTTTGGCCTTATAATTGCTGCTCCATGACGTCGTTTACAGGACAATGGACAGTGTGAGGTAGTGTGGTTCTGCTAAGAAATCCTCTTATCTATCTAATGTTAGTATTGTAAATATATTTGTTACTAATGTGAGGTATACTCAACAATAAACTAAAGAAACTACATTCTAAACTAAGAGACCTTAAGAAAACAAAAAGATTGATGATGTGTGTTGGTGTCTTTCCTGCAGAACTATGGATTTCTTAGTGATTATTGAATCTGCTTTTTTGATGTTGTAACTCTGATGCTATTAGCAAATGAATCTGCAGAACTTATCTGAATACAAGCTACCTCATGGTTTCTCCATCTTGACTTTTGCTTTGTAACTCTTCCCAAATCTCTTTCAAACTTCTTTCTAATTGCACCTGATCAATCTCTCTAACTACTTGAAGCACAAGCCTTCTCTGGGTGGTCTGTGAAATCAGAATGTGGTGATCTGGTGTATCTTGTTTTAGCCATATTTGCTTTTAACCTTTGCCTTTACAACTATACCACATGCATGTAAGCTTAAATGGAAATGTACTCAACAATGGTTTTTGAGTTCCGGTATCTAATCTTGTACTTTTACAGGTGAGAGTCGCAATACAGAATGCAAATAAAGTTGAAGAAAAAGCTAGAAGATGGCTTTATACGATGAATAGGGACTGCATCCGATTTTGTAAACTCATGGTTTGTATTGTTTCCCATTTTAGAGAATGGAGGCATGATGTACTTTGCTATTTGAACCCAATTTTGTAAACTATTGATTTTTATAGATTCCTATTTCAGAAAATGGGTGCATGATGTGCTTCACTATTTGCTCTGCTAACTCAAAGTATTTCTATTCCTCTTTCATGGTGATTTTTTTGAATATTATCTTACTTTCTGTGACATGAAATGCAGGAAATTAGTCAGAATGATGCTGCTCCTTCCAAGGACACTGCCCACAGAGCGAGAAAAATTACATTTGCTGATGAAGCAGGCGGTATTCTCTGTCATGTGAACTATATCGGTGATGCCACGAACTCTAAGCAGTCTGATGATGGAAAACAAGAAGATTAAAATGTAATTATGAAGGGATGGCTCATTTTGGAATTAATCTATATCTATTATCATAATAGATAATTCTCCGAGCCTCTCTACATCGTACTGATTCTGAAGTAAGTTTTGATCTATTTTTCTCTGTACAGGAAAAAAAACACAGCTTGCCTTATTCTCGTTTATTTTCCATTGCATCAATTTTGAAGTGCAGTCTGCACTGCTGACTGAAAATTTCACTGTTATGCAACTTGAATATGCTTTTTGGTTCTATATTGAAGTTAATTGTATTTTACTACAACTTTTATCTCTGATTCATGTTTTTGGTTTTAAAGTGTCTTTAGTAGTAGCCAACTGGCCATTTTTCTTTCATTCCTCTGTAATAATGCCAAATGGACTTTCATCATGGTAAAGGACTTGCAATATAGTTACATTGATAAATCATAAAATTTAAAACTAAGTACTTTCACTGAATTTTAAGGTGCTGATAGGTACCATGGCAATTTGTACCAGGAACTGGAGATATGGTAAAGAGCTCGTACCATATCTCTGTGAAGGCCTCCACAATGGCTGCATGGTGGTGCTGTGAATTGAGAGAAAGAAAACACAGCAAAAGCTGCTCTAAATCCTTTACTGCGAATATTTGTTTCTCTACTATCATTTCCAGCATTGATATCTTGAAATCCTCGTACGGATCATCTGTTTTCTTCACCACTGCAAAGCTTTCCTTCACAACCCCCTCCACCATGCAAGGCATCAACCGCTCAAAAACCGATTTCTTGACTGCACAATCGTTTTCAGCATCCTTAAAGCTCCCCGACAGGTAATGTTTCAGTGTCCGAACCTTCAAGCCATTCTTCTGCTTTCTTGTGGCTATTCCGTTTGTCTGGTAATCAAGATCGAATGAGGAATCGAAGCTCGGAGAAGATGAAAATAAGCTCTCTGTTTCCTCACTGCTGAACCAGCCATTCTCCCCCGTTGAATTATTGCTTCTGCTAAGCCTGTGTTTGGCTTTAGCCCTCTGATCTCTCCCCATTTTCGCCTTCTTTTTGCCGTTTGAACGTGCAATGGGCCTCATATACTCATCTGAAAAATCCGAAACCGGTGAATTATAAGTCTTGTGAGAAGGTTTCTGCTCGTTCTTGAAACTGTGAACGGGCGATTCAAGGTGTTCATGATACTGAGTTGGCGTTGAAGGCGGTGGAACAGGGAAACCGGGATAAGGAATGTCGAATGCTTTAGGATTGATTGGGGAAAACATGTGTATAGAAGCCAGAAACGAAGGTTTCTTGGAGCGACAGAACTGGAAAGAAGGCATCACGAATCTAAGCTTAAAACCTCTCCCCATTTTTCAGCAGTGATCAATATGAAGAACTGCAAAAAGTTTTATGGTAATGTAAAACTGGGTGAGGAGAAGTTGGTTGTTAGAAGAGGAAATAGTGTTTTTTATATGTACAGAAATAGAGCGAATTAGAAAGAATATCAAGGCCGGCTGGTCAGCAAATTCATCATCTTTCAAGTCCCTTTCCAACTCCTTTGGAACTGATCAAATGCAAGTGATGTCATATTACTGATACTTGAAAGGTACAAAGAATTCTTCCAAGATCATCAGGGGAACAAGTCTTAGCTATACATCAAGGTGACACTTTGTTTGTTACATCGTTTTGGTATGAACAGAATAAATACAATTTATACCGGTTAAAAAAAATGTACCAGTCTAATGAGCTTTCGAGTCTTGCCCTATTCCACTAGGCCGCCTAATAATATAAGATTGAGTTAGAAAGCATGTGAAAGTCTGAAGAACTTTTGGGTCTTAGGCTACTCCATTGAGGCCGGCTAATACTAGTAGCTTAAGCTAATTGCTAATATTTCATCAATGTGATTTTAGGGTTTCAAGAACCAGAAAAATAATAGAGAAAGGGAACAAAACTAACATATTTTGATTGGCTTATGAGTTATGATCCCATTCAAGCCTGCAAAACTGTCATGCTAAAAATGATAGCTAAAAGTTCACAGATTTTAGATTTACCACAAACCTTTCAGACACCCTTTACTATAATGTATTGTAATTTATGCAAGGAATGAAAATTTCAAGCTGAGCTGTACAATGGCGTTGAAGAATTCCTTGATAAGTACAGCCTCTATCTGATTGGCACTTTTAGATTTTCTTAATTCCATAGTCATTTTCAGTTTGCACGGACACGACAAGTGCATACAGACAGCCCCGCAGAAAAGATCTTCAAAATGATGACAGTACAAATTTTTGCTGTACGTTGATCTGGTCTTGCTTTCATTTCTAATAGGGTAATACTAACACTACTCTCACATTCTACTCCCTACTTGCATGTCATACTTTGATTCATTCAAAAAAATATGAATCACTATTTTTATTACTTTCTTTCATCTTTCTCCAATAAAATTAAGACATGTGACGAGAGTTTTACTCCTTGAAGTGTATGTATCATTATATGGTCACGAGAGGCAAATTTCAGTACTAAATGTATGACCTTGAGAGTTGGCAACATGTTGTTATAAAGAGTCACTAAATAAAGCGAGACCGCTTTTAATGACTGATTGTGTTGGTATGACATAACTATAGTTTTAATTTTTAAATGAAGAAATGGGTACTATAATAATAACAGTCGAGATTTTTAGTTAGGCACAACCCTCGATCTATTCAACGAGTCTCATACTATCACCTCAAAGAACTGAAACATTATCAAATTGTTCTATTCCCTATTTATGGTTTTTATAAATAGATAAATGGCACTAGAGAGACCTTATACAACAATTTCAACCGAGAAAGTGTTAGTAAAAATTTTAACACGAAAATCATGCTCTAGTCATTGATTTTTGGACATTTTCTATGTCATAGGGCATGTTGATGGTTGATTTTTTCATGGAATCATGGCTAATGAATGACAAAAAGTTGTGGGGTCAATGTGAAACATGCTTAAAATTATAGGATTCCTTTTCACAATATTTGCAATTTAGCCGCCGTGTCGCGCTGGATCTCCATTTTGGGTGCTCCAAGCCTCCAACGAATGAGAAGAAACCCTAGCCCCAAAAGCCCTATTTATATTTTTCACTTGCCGCCACCAACGCAGATGAGCTTCTTCTCCATTGTACTACCATGATTTTCTCCTGAATTTGATTTTTTTTACATTAAAAAAAATTAAATTGATTTGCGTCAGAGATGTTTATTTGTATACATGTATTCATGCTTATGAGTGAATGAATTGCATCGGATTTACCATCTCCTTGCTAATTCCAAGTGTTTTTAGGGAGATATAACTGATGCAGAGAGTGAAACGAGGTTGGCTTACCAGCCCATTGCATTTTAGGTTGTTGCATTGGCGTCAAATGGACCTTCCGATATTATTACAACCATTTTCCCAACTGAATTTCTTCTGTTTTAGTGGAGAAATTTTCAGATTTGTTTTGTCTTGATGAAGTCCAAGTGTGTCAAATTTTGTTTTTGATTTTTTGATGATATGGCAATGATGATTCTTAATCTTATCCTACACACTGATCATCAATCGTGTTGACTATCAACTCCGCTTATTATCTGATGCCATTATATTCCCCTTGCTCATCTGCATTTGTTTAGAGATTGCATATTTCAAAATGGAACTGAATTTCATATCTCTGATTCTGTTTTGTGCAAAAAAGCAATCTTTTGCTAAAAATGGTAACTGGCTAATTTGTTTTAGTGGATAGATTTCAAATTTGTTGTCTTTGGCGAATTCCAATAGTTTCAAATTTTGCTTTGTTTTTTAGATGCTATGGCAATGATGATTCTTAGAATCTTTTCCTACACACTGATCATCAATCGTGTTGACTATCAACTCCGCTTATTATCTGATGCCATTCTATTCCCCTAGCTCCTCTGCATGTGTTTAGAGATTGAAAATTTCAAGAAGGAACTGAATTTCTTATCTCTGATGCTGTTTTGTGCAAAAAAAAGCAATCTTTTGCTAAAAATGGTAACTGACTAATTTGTTTCAGTGAAGAAATTTTCAGATTTCTTTTGTCTTGGTGAAGTCCAATTGTTTCAAATTTTGTTTTGATTTTTATTTTTTGATGCAATGGCAGTGATGATTCTTCAAATCTTATCCTACACACTGATCATTAATCGTGTTGACTATCAACTCCGCTTATTATCTGATGCCATTCTATTCCCCTAGCTCCTCTGCATTTGTTTAAGATTGCATATGAATTTCTTATCTATGCTGTTTTGTGCAAAAAGCAATCTTTCTATTAAAAATGTTTACTGGTTTATTTGTTTAAGCATTGAATATTGTGTGCTATACTTGGATGTTTTTAATCAAGACATTGAAATTTTGTGGTAGGTTAATGACTGTTATCTGGTCTCTTGAGTCAAAAGTATTTTGTTCTTCAGTTATGGCTGATTTCATTTTTCAATAAACTTTAATTTATATGATCTCTACGACTGTATTTTGGCTTCTTTAAGATGCCTAGTTGTATTATTCATCAATTTTGAAGTGAAGTCTGCACTGCTGACTGAAAATTTCACTGTTATGCAACTTGAATATGCTTTTTGGTTCTATATTGAATTTAATTGTATTTTACTACAACTTTTATCTCTGATTCATGTTTTTGGTTTTAAAGTGTGTCTTTAGTAGTAGCCAACTGGCCATTTTTCTTTCATTCTTCTGTAATAATGCCAAATGGACTTTCATCATGGTAAAGGACTTGCAATATAGTTACATTGATAAATCATAAAATTTAAAAATAAGTACTTTCACTGAATTTTAAGGTGCTGATAGGTACCATGGCAATTTGTACCAGGAACCGGAGATATGGTAAAGAGCTCGTACCATATCTCTGTGAAGGCCTCCACAATGGCTGCATGGTGGTGCTGTGAATTGAGAGAAAGAAAACACAGCAAAAGCTGCTCTAAATCCTTTACTGCGAATATTTGTTTCTCTACTATCATTTCCAGCATTGATATCTTGAAATCCTCGTACGGATCATCTGTTTTCTTCACCACTGCAAAGCTTTCCTTCACAACCCCCTCCAACATGCAAGGCATCAACCGCTCAAAAACTGATTTCTTGACCGCACAATCGTTTTCAGCATCCTTAAAGCTCCCTGACAGGTAATGTTTCAGTGTCCGAACCTTCAAGCCATTCTTCTGCTTTCTCGTGGCTATTCCATTGGTCTGGTAATCAAGATCGAATGAGGAATCGAAGCTCGGAGAAGTTGAAAATAAGCTCTCTGTTTCCTCGCTGCTGAACCAGCCACTCTCCCCCGTTGAATTATTGCTTCTGCTAAGCCTGTGTTTGGCTTTAGCCCTCTGATCTCTCCCCATTTTCGCCTTCTTTTTGCCTTTTGAACGTGCAATGGGCCTCATATACTCATCTGAAAAATCCGAAACCGGTGAATTATAAGTCTTGTGAGAAGGTTTCTGCTCGTTCTTGAAACTGTGAACGGGCGATTCAAGGTGTTCATGATACTGAGTTGGCGTTGAAGGCGGTGGAACAGGGAAACCGGGATAAGGAATGTCGAATGCTTTAGGATTGATTGGGGAAAACATGTGTATAGAAGCCAGAAACGAAGGTTTCTTGGAGCGACAGAACTGGAAATAAGGCATCACGAATCTAAGCTTAAAACCTCTCCCCATTTTTCAGCAGTGATCAATATGAAGAACTGCAAAAAGTTTTATGGTACTGTAAAACTGGGTGAGGAGAAGTTGGTTGTTAGAAGAGGAAATGGTGTTTTTTATATGTACAGAAATAGAGCGAATTAGAGAGAATATCAAGGCCGGCTGGTCAGCAAATTCATCATCTTTCAAGTCCCTTTCCAACTCCTTTGGAACTGATCAAATGCAAGTGATGTCATATTACCGATACTTGAAAGGTACAAAGAATTCCTCCAAGATCATCAGGGGAACAAGTCTTAGCTATACATCAAGGTGACACTTTGTTTGTTACATCGTTTTGGTATGAACAGAATAAATACAATTTATACCGGTTAAAAAAAATGTACCAGTCTAATGAGCTTTCGAGTCTTGCCCTATTCCACTAGGCCGCCTAATAATATAAGATTGAGTCAGAAAGCATGTGAAAGTCTGAAAAACTTTTGGGTCTTAGGCTACTCCATTGAGGCCGGCTAATACTTAGTAGTTTAAGCTAATTGCTAATATTTCATCAATGTGATTTTAGGGTTTCAAGAACCAGAAAAATAATAGAGAAAGGGAACAAAACTAACATATTTTGATTGGCTTATGAGTTATGATCCCATTCAAGCCTGCAAAACTGTCATGCTAAAAATGATAGCTAAAAGTTCACAGATTTTAGATTTACCACAAACCTTTCAGACACCCTTTGTTATAATGTATTGTAATTTATGCAAGGAATGAAAATTTCAAGCTGAGCTGTACAATGGCGTTGAAGAATTCCTTGATAAGTACAGCCTCTATCTGATTGGCAGATTGGCACATTTAGATTTTCTTAATTCCATAGTCATTTTCAGTTTGCACGGACACGACAAGTGCATACAGACAGCCCCGCAGAAAAGATCTTCAAAATGATGACAGTACAAATTTTTGCTGTACGTTGATCTGGTCTTGCTTTCATTTCTAATAGGGTAATACTAACACTACTATTACATTTTACTCCCTACTTACATGTCATCCTTTGATTCATTCAGAAAACGGTGAGTCACAGTTTTTATTACTTTCTTTCATCTTTCTTCAATAAAATTAAGACATGTGACGAGAGTTTTACTCCTTGAAGTATATGTATCATTATATGGTCACAAGAGGCAAATTTCAGTACTAAATGTATGACCTTGAGAGTTGACAACATGTTGTTATAAAGAGTCATTAAATAAAGCGAGACCGCTTTTAATGACTGATTGTGTTGGTATGACATAACTATAGTTTTAATTTTTAAATGAAGAAATGAGTACTATAATAATAACAGTCGAGATTTTTAGTTAGACACAACCCTCGATCTATTCAACGAGTCTCATACTATCACCTCAAAGAACTGAAACATTATCAAATTATTTTATTCCCTATTTATGGTTTTTTATAAATAAATAAATGGCACTAGAGAGACCTTATACAACAATTTTGACCGAGAAAGTGTTAGTAAAAATTTTAACATGAAAATCATGCTCTACTCATTGATTTTTGGACATTTTCTATGTCACAGGGCATGTTAATGGTTGATTTTTTTCATGGAATCATGGCTAATGAATGACAAAAAGTTGTGGGGTCAATGTGAAACATGCTTAAAATTATAGGATTCCTTTTCACAATATTTGCAATTTAGCCGCCGTGTCGCGCTGGATCTCCATTTTGGGTGCTCCAAGCCTCCAACGAATGAGAAGAAACCCTAGCCCCAAAAGCCCTATTTATATTTTTCACTCGCCGTCACCAGCGCAGATGAGCTTCTTCTCCATTGTACCTACCATGACTTTCTCCTGAATTTGAGTTTTTACATTAAAAAAAATTAAATCGATTTGCGTCAGAGATGTTTGTTTGTATACATGTATTCATGCTTATGAGTGAATGAAATTGCATCGGATTTACCATCTCCTTGCTAATTCCAAGTGTTTTTAGGGAGATATAACTGATGCAGAGAGTGAAACGAGGTTGGCTTACCAGCCCATTGCATTTTTCGTTGTTGCATTGGCGTCAAATGGACCTTCCGATATTATTACAACATTTTCCCCACTTAATTTCTTCTGTTTTAGTGGAGAAATTTTCAGATTTGTTTTGTCTTGATGAAGTTCAATTGTGTCAAATTTTGTTTTTGATTTTTTGATGCTATGGCAATGATGATTCTTAAAATCTTATCCTACAAACTGATCATCAATCGTGTTGACTATCAACTCCGCTTAATCTGATGCCATTCTCCTCTGCATTTGTTTAGAGATTGCATATTTCAAAATGGAACTGAATTTCATATCTCTGATTCTGTTTTGTGCAAAAAAGCAATCTTTTGCTAAAATGCTACTGGCTAATTTGTTTTAGTGGATAGATTTCAAATTTGTTGTCTTTGGCGAATTCCAATAGTTTCAAATTTTGCTTTGTTTTTTAGACGCTATGGCAATGATGATTCTTAGAATCTTTTCCTACTCACTGATCATCAATCGTGTTGACTATCAACTCCGCTTATTATCTGATGCCATTCTATTCCCCTTGCTCCTCTGCATTTGTTTAGAGATTGCATATTTCAAAAAGGAACTGAATTTCATATCTCTGATTCTGTTTTGTGCAAAAAAGCAATCTTTTGCTAAAAATGGTAACTGACTAATTTGTTTCAGTGCATAAATTTTCAGATTTCTTTTGTCTTGGTGAAGTCCAATTGTTTCAAATTTTGTTTTGATTTTTATTTTTTGACGCAATGGCAGTGATGATTCTCAAAATCTTATTCTACACACTGATCATTAATCGTGTTGACTATAAACTCCGCTTATTATTTGATGCCATTCTATTCCCCTAGCTCCTCTGCATTTGTTTAGGGATTGCATATTTTAAAAAGGAACTGAATTCCTTATCTCTGATGCTGGTTTTGTGCAAAAACCAATCTTTCAATTATAATTGTTTACTGGTTTATTTGTTTAAGCATTGAAGCTTGTGTGCTATACCTGGATGTTTTTAAGCAAGACATTGAAATTTTGTATAGGTTAGTGACTGTTATCTGGTTTCTTGAGTCAAATGTATTTTATTCTTCAGTTATGGCTGATTTCATTTTTCAATAAACTTGAATTTATATGATCTCTACGACTGTATTTTGGCTTCTTTAAGATGCCTAGTTTTATTATTCATCAATAGCAAAATAGAACTCACTGATGAGAAAGAAGCAGACGGGCGGTCAGAAACTGATGCCATGTTGAATGTCTGCATACTTCCTATATGGAAATTGTATGAGAGGACTGCTGCCTTATACTTCTCTATTGTTCGTTTTACCTGGTTTTGATTATTTTGGTTTTACAGTCTTAGTTGCTTTGTTTGTTTCGTTGTTTTTTGTTTCCTCTGCAGTGAACTGCATTACATTGTTTTATTATGTAGACTTAAAATTTTCTTTGTTTTGAGGTTTTTACCTAATTGCAGTGATGATTTTGCTAAATTATGTCTGGACTTATGATTCCATGATTAGATATAATGCAAATTCTGAGCTTGATTTTAAGCATTATTTCTAAACAAATTTGAAGGGTTTACATTGGGGTAAATCTTGCACCATGTGAGCTGACCTGATTTTAAGTATGTGAATCGTTATGCACCCACTTGACTAAGAATTGATGTTCAGAAGAATTTCAAAAGTAAATCTCTAATTTAAAACACCAAATTCTTTACTAAATTTTACCCATGATATTTTTATACTATTTTTTTTTCATCTTCAATCTATTTACACCAAATGTTATTCCTAGGATCATACTTGTGTGCGGGTATGCAAATTTAATATTTATACTAGTAAATGTGATATTAAATTATGAATAAAATATTTGTTACTTAATATTTTTTAGAACAAATGCAATATTTTTATATTTGTTACGAAACTTTGCTTCTTTTTTTGGTCGTTTTTTCATTTGATGGCTGCCGGCTTTTGGCCGAAGTTTTGAAGTTTTGAGCTTTTGACGGAGTTTCGTCACTTGGCTGGTGGTTGCCTATTTTCTTTTGTTTTTTAATTTTATAATAAAGTTTACTGTTGATTCACCCACCAATTTTTCAGAAAGTTGCGGTAATTTCAAAGATTTAAAGTTTAAAGATTCTGTCAGATCTGAATAAAGATTGATTTGATTCTATTGGATCCGTAAAATAAAGACTATAATTAATGTCTTGTTTGGTCCATACTCCGACCAGATATAGGATAATAAATCACGATTATTCTATCAAATTAATAACCAATTAAGCTCTGTATGCAGGAATCCTGATTACTCCCATCTTGTGGACTCTTGCACACTCATTGAGACATTAAGAAATGGGAAAATTAATTATGAAATGAAATGTTTCACTTTATTTATTTAAGTATTTGTGTTGTAATGAAAAATTTCAAAGATGAGACCCCACCACCCCTTTATTGTCAAACCCCACTTGCTCCATTTAATATCGCCCACTCCATTACACCACCCCTCCCTCCCTCCCTACGCCATCGCCGTCGGTGGGTGACTGCTGGATCTCCATTTCATACGTAGCAGATCAACCAACCAACCAAAAAACACCCACCCATAGTCATACGTAGGACGACACAAGTCAAACACACACTTCTCTGTTTATACTGCAAAACCTCCATCTGTTGATTGGTATGAAGAAATGAAAGACGAAGAGGCGCAAGTAATTACTTCTGCAGGGAAGAAAGAGCATGGCTCAGATGGCGGCCATGGCTTGTTTGGTAGAGGAAAGTACAAGCTTTGGGTTATACTTGCGATTCTCCTGCTAGCCTTTTGGTCCATGTTCACCGGCTCCCTCACTCTCAGTCTCAACCGGGTTTCTGATTCTTCCGGCTTCCCCCTCCACGATGATCTTGATGTTCTGGTACTCGTATTAATCCCTGCTTTTTTTTTGAGGATTTTATTAATTTATTTATTTATTGGGTTGATTTATGTATGTTTAAGGTTTTGGGTTGCAGGAAGTGGAGGAGAAGGAGAAGGTAGTGAGGCAGATGTGGGATGTTTATACTCAGAGTCGGAGTAGCAGGTTGCCTAAGTTCTGGCAAGAAGCTTTCGAGGCGGCGTACGAGGAAATGACCAGTGATTCCGCCGCCGTCCGAGACGCCGCCGTGTCGGAGATTGCCAAGATGTCATTACTATCCACTGCCACTTCGGAATCCATGTCCACCCAAAGGTAATAAACTTTAATCTTTTGAGACAAGATTGGTTTTATTATTTTATTTTTATTGGGTAAATTTTCATAAAGATTTTATTGTGTAAATTGTGATTTTAATTGACAAAGAATTCATAAGGAATGGAATTAAATAAGTCGGGATATTTATAGCTTACCAAGTCACTAACTTGGTTGGATTATTCTTTACATTATTTCTTGGGTCACTAAGAAAACTTTATAAAACCATCAAACAAAAAGGTATTAAACTTAGGCTACTTTTTCGCTTAATGATATTGTATTGAACCATTACTCTTAACTTGTGTACAGAGAAACAGAAGCAGAAACAGAGAAAGGCCACAGCATCAATCTTGGGAAGAAGCAATAGGTGCAATATGGGATTTTGCTAGCCTGAAAACATTGTTACCCGAAGGGTGAATATAAAATGATGTTATATAGTAATACTATATATAAGTTTATTACAATAATGTATACAATGCATTTATGCTGCAATTCTATCTGCAACCTAGCATTCTGTGCCAATCTCAGGATAAAGTTGGAAGTTCTGCACTTTGTGTTTTTACTTGCAAAAAGTAAAGTCCAAGTTGCAACAAGTTTGGATTTTTTTTTCTCGATTTTGATTATTTGATTTTTGTAATATTTTTAATTGTTAATTGCAGTTTCACTATCATATTTCATGTTTTTTTGAAGCACTATCATATTTCATATTAGTCTATTAACTTTGAATTTTTACTACTTTTAGTCGTTTTGGTCAAACATCACTTCATATCAACAAGTGCACAACATGTGTTTGGTTGGAAAATCTGCCAAAAAATTAGACAGAGTGGTTAGAAATTTAGAGTGCATATAATAGTAGAAGATCTTAAAATAGTTCCCGAAGCTTTCGAGAAGATAGATAGTCTTGTGTGTAAGCATAATATTGTTGGACAAGTTATAGTCTTGTGTGTAAACATAGCATTTTTGTTCTAACTCAACTAAGAAGAAAATCAAGATATCAATAGTAGAATTTGGTGGTTATATGATAATGATGTATTTGGCACCAAATGCCATAATCTAAAAATCCCACTTTCTGATCATATTTAGGAATTTGTCCAATTTGCAGAGTATGATTAACCAACATTTCTGGGAATTGTCAATAGATTTAAAAGCAGAATTGTTATACATTTGAGGCATTTTTCCACCTAAAAGAATCAAAATGTTAGTGGTAGACAACAACAGATAATAGAAAAGTTGTCCGCCCCCCCCCCCCCCCCCCCCACGAAGTTGGGTTCAGTATCTGTCCTACTCAACTCTTGGTTTCACTAAGAATTTCATTCACTTAAATTTTAATAGTATTTTCACTTCACCTATAATCTTCAATTATCCTTTTTTTTTTTTTTTTTTTTTTTTTTTTTTTTTTTTTACTATTAATTCATCAAAGTTTAAATCTTTTTTTTACCTCTCTTAATCCTTTCAGTAATGTTTAAAAGAAATAATACTCAAAATTAAATTCACTCAATTTACCTCTTCAAGGTCATGAAGTCTAAGATATAATCTGACAAAGTAAAAAACCTAGGTTATCAAAAAGACAAACAGAAAATGAAGTAAATGATTTTGCATTATACACAATGTGCCTAGCAGTCCAACCACTCCACCACCATGTGGATTAAGTGGCCCACAACCCATTAACTGAAGTTCAATTCTGCAGGAAAAAGGAAAATGACATGGCTGACCAAATAATATGATGTTAAGGCAATGTAATGAAAAGAAAATGCCTTGTTTAGAATGAATCAACCTTGAAATCTTGTAACAAAGAATAACAAAAACCTATTGTAAGCCATAACTTCACAAAATTGCTTGAGCAGATCAAATAATTACTGCTGATGTTGTTCTATGGATTCAAAGTACAAAAAAGGAATGAAAATTGGCATTTGCCCAAAAAAAAAAAAAACATTTACAAATTCTCCATCTACTTAATCTTCCACTGCCTGAATCTCTCCCATCATGATCCTATTGCTAACCACATTGAATCCCAGCTCTGAGAGGCTGACCTTTTTACCCTTTTTGCCTTTCTTTCTTCCACCCCCTTTTGTGGCCACATCGAAAGCAGCACCATCAGAGGTCGAGTCTGCAGCAGATCCACTGGTGGCCTTTTGATTACTTGCACCACTTTGTAAGGCAATCTCAAGAACATCTGCAGGCAAGAGATCTTTGTAGTCTAGAAACTTGTGGATGAACTCATGGTCAGGATCAAAGGAGCCCAGATTCTCAGTCAGAAGCACTTCAGCCTCAGATCTCGTTTGGTTCAAACAGAACTGCAGGAAACTTGTATCTGGAAGGAACAAGAATGATAGATCTAGTAAGAAAGAAATTTTAACTTTATGGACTTGTTAAATGTTCCAGAGTAGAAAATATTTGAGATATCCCAACAGTTATAGTGGATACTTGAATAGGATTTTCCTACTTATTGACATCAGCCAAAAATACTTCTAGTCAGAATAAAAGCTAAATACAAATACATTTTTAGTTTATATGTCAGAACAATGAGTCAATCCAACAAAAACGAGGAAGAAACAAGAGCACAAGCTGCTCTTAATGTACCTTTAGTTCCAAGGAGCCTTAAGCACTCGCTCTCACACCATTCTCTGAAATCCATGGCTTCTGAAATAATGCACTGAGAGTCATTTTCAAATCTTTTTAAAATTTATTTCTTGCTTATAAACTAGGGCAATAAATTACCTGACTGCTTTGTTAGTGCTTCCTTCTTTCCTTTCAAAGATGAGCTAGTTGCAGGAGATGAAGATAGTGTATGCTCCATAGGCCTGCCAGTGGACTTTTGCCTGCTCAATGATCCTCCAGGCGTTCCTTTCACTGGAGTATTCCTGTTTCCCCAGCTACCTTGGGTTCCCAGATGTGGGAAATTTGACCTGCAGGCGTTATGAAATACCTTAGGGAAAAGAAATTATTGGACAATACTAACAAATTCTTGATTTCAAATTCACTCAACTACAATAGCAGAAAACTGATTTCACCTAATGTGTATTTACAGAAAGTTTAGAATTTAAACTTCCATACGTATATCAATATAGTAATTAGCTATTGCTTTTGCATTGTTCATTGTTCAAATTTCAACCCCCAAACAAACCAATTTTTAAGGTAAAAGTGCAAGAAGATTCACACAATCAAATTCCCACAATAATGCACATGATAATTTAAGGCTCTAAAAACAGTGAAGCACATGCACAAATGCAACCTTGCTTTAGCAAATACCATTAATATTATATGGTGAAGATTTTAATGAAAAGGTTTTATCAGTTTGCACAAGTCAAAGAGAGAGAGAGAGAGGAAGAGAGGAAAAGTGCTCATACTGCTTTGCCTCTTGCTTGGGTTGATCTACTGAACCCCAGAAGAAATCATCTTCTATCTGATTCTTCGTTTTAGAAGCAACACGTGAATTTATCTGCATGGGAGATGCAGCCTTGGGTGGAGAGGAGTCAGTAACCGACCATGAAGGACTACCTCCTCGGGTTGGTTGCTTTGACATGGATTTTTGAGGTGTTGGCACTGGAATATGCTGCTGTCCAGAAGAAGATTTCCTTTCCTGTTCCTTCAAAATGTCCCTAAGCAATGTGGGTTTTGGAACTTTACCAGATTCTGTCGACCATGCTGGAGCAGGAGAAGGGTTTGCCGGCTCACCCTTCCAAACTACAAAATCTCCCAAAGAAGGGCCAGACGGTACTCCTGGCAATACTTCTTTCTCTGGTTGTAGCTGGCGTGAACTCTTGACTTTGTCAATGGGGCTTGAGACAGAAGTTTCAACAGATGCAATAGACACTGAGGACTTCGTTCCAGAACCCTTTGCTTTTGCAGACTTCTTGCGACTCTTTTTAGTTTCTTTTGCTTCAATGAAGTTGTCATCATCAAGATCAGCTTGAGAACTTGAAATAGGAGCAGCAGGTACACTAGGTGTTATGTCAGTAATCTGCTGTCTTTCATTTGACTTGACCCCAGTGCTTTCTTCCAATAGATCATGTAACTGGCTTTTCTTACCTTTTTGTTTGAGAGAACTATCCGATTTGCTCAAACTGTTACCAGCATCCTGCTGAGTTTTTCTAAGCAGCTTAGGATCAGAGTTACCAGCCACCCCTGCCCAAGGAGTTGACACACTAATGGAATTAAGAGATGTGGCGATATCAGCAACAGCCGTTTCTGCTTGTGCTCTCCTTTGTTCTTCCTCCTGAATTTCAAGCAACGACTTTGGTTTGAAACCAGGAGCAGGCTTCCAAGCTCGAAGACCAGAAACATTTTCGGTGTCAATATTTGGGACAGCCCCAACTTGGCCAGAGTGGCCCTTTGTCTCAATGTTTTGAGCTTCTCTGGTGACATGTGCAGGCAATGAACTTTGCCCTGGTTGTACATTTGAAGCAACTTCAACGTTTTTATTCTCCATTTTTTCGGGTGCAGAGTCTTTCACTATTGCACTTGAATCAGTACTGGTGTCAGCTTTGACATGAGCAACACTGGTACCTTCAGATTTAAACTGCTGTGTCTTAGATACTACCCTTGTAGTGTCAGAGGCTTGCATCTTGGCAGACTTTTGCCTCTTTGATTTCTTCTCTGATGACTTTTTAACCTCATGCAATTCAACATTTTTAACTTCCTTTACAGAACATGGCTCATCAGAATGTTGAGCTCCCTCAGCTTGCGGCTCCTCATGTATTTCCAGTGGTGGCTTTATGTTATCACTTTGTGGATTAAGACTCAAGTCATTCTCACAACTAGAAGGGAGAGATAAATCAACAAATGTATCCCGTTCTTCTACAGGCGGAAAACTTGGAGTACTCTCAAAGGTAACTGCAGGGGCTTCAATTCCTGATGTCTGCTCTAGCGGATATTTGCTAGCCACATCTGCCACAGGAAGTGGATCGATCACTCCAGTTTCTAAGAATGAGCCCTTCTGCTGCACACTATTAAATTGATCCTGAGGGTTTGCACCCCAACTCCTCTGACCAATAATATCACCAAATATTTGATGCGGCAGATGTGTAGAAGATGGTTCAGAACCAACAGCATTGCTAACAGCCTGAGAAATTGGCAGGCCAAATTGTGAAGCCTGTCCGTTTACAGTGACCTGTGCTTGAGAGCCCATACAGGATAACTCACCTGATGATGGGAAACGAGCATGATCCAGAGTAGTAATTCCTGAAGGCATGCCGGCAGTTTGTGACTGTCCATACAATTGTTCACCAAACTGCTTAGAAGGATGATGCTCAGCCATCACCTGAGTAAGCAACTGCTGTTGCTGGAGCATTAACTGTTGCTGCTGTTCATGTTTCTGCTGCTGCTCAAGCAATAACAACTTATCAAGAACTGAAAGCTGCTGTGGCATTGGTGGAGCCTGTGATTGCAGCTGCAACAAGTACTGCTTCTGCAGCAAACTTAACATTTGAGGATCATGAGAGATCCCAGAAGAAATCATCTTTTCTGAAGTTGAAATATTGGGGGGATTATCCAAGGTTGGGACCAGTAAATTCTTTATTGAAGTGTTCTGAGCAAGTAGTCTTTGCTGCTGGATCCCAAATGCAGGTTGGGGGTTGACATTCAACCCGTGATGCATATCCAACCTATTTTGG